GTATTCAGTGATCAGAAAATAATGTCCAATGTTACGACGTCCCCACTCCATTGTAGAACATGTAATCTTTGCAGTAATCTGTCATCGATTCATCGTTCTGCCTTTCTCAGCTAACTTACACCCACTGAAGAATCCATGAAACCACAACTCTTTATCATCTTGTTCCAGTGGTAGTCCTTCTTTGATACTTCGTTCATCATATGACCATGTATATGGTATGTCGCTAACTACTGAGTTTTCCCCCAAGTTCCCGCTCTTCGTAACCCTAGCATTTATGTAACAAGATTCCCTATTCTCTTTATTCCACAAGCTCCCAATCTAACCGCATATACGCTTCATTGTCTTACACAAAATCACCATTCTCTGCCAAACCGGCACTCGCCAAACCGGCACGCCAAACCAGCACTCATCATACTTCAATACAACCTCATCGACAGTGTCATAACGCCCTAGCCTTATCAACATTCACTCTTACCCAAACTTGTTCTTCTCATCATTCATTCCTCTTGACTTGTTACGATCCATGTAGTTATGTTGACCACAACAATACTTGAATTCAATCCTCTTCTTAGTCGTTGACATTGGTAGAATCTACATCTCCACTAGAGAGTTCTATTTTTGTGTGATTCATCACCTTCCCAATATGATAGTCCTTCAACTTCCACTAGCACAAACATTGATAGAGAACGCAGGTTCACAATTACTCCGAAGGATTTATCATGGCTCCAGCTCATATACAACACCATCCTCGGCTTTCTCGTTCCACTATGCGATTTGTTCCTTCACAGCTATCGCTTGTACAACCATCCTCTTCACCAGCGCAACCTCCAGAGGTTCCAGTACCCATTGAGATCATCTCGAATGTCCTTGCGTAGCCCAGCCTTAGATAACCGACACCCTTCTTCTGGAGTCTTTGGTTGGCCCTCTTAGCTTGGTCGAAGAAGTTCTCTGTATATCCATCATTTGACCGACTTTCTTGAGCAATCTGAAACACGGTCCTACACTGACACTTCCCGGTGAACACTCTCGGAGGCTCCCCAACATCACTCGGTATCTTGCATGGGCGGCCATGCTTCCTCGGGTGAAATCTGGAACTGCACCTGACCTCACAGTATGCGATCCTGCTTTGCTATCCTCTGGAAATGTGGCATCAACACCTTACGCTTTACTGTCTGCTCATGAGGAACCCGAACGAAAACTCCTTGAACTTCTCCACAGGATCCGAGAACATATGCAACACCAGTTACCCTCCTCATCGTGATGAAGCTTACGGGCATGCTACCGGATGCCCCTACGCCCGTAATGCATGCACAACATCCTCTACTCGTATTGGTCAAGTGAGTACATCCAGAAATAAAGATCTAATCAGGACCGTAATCGAAGTACATATACACTGGGTGGTTTTGAAATCATTTCACATTTTTAAAATACTCTAAAACTTTCTCAATCATAATAATTCTCTTTCCAAACAAGACCGATTAACTTTTGAAAACATTGAACTTAAAACTTTTGAAAACATTGAACTGCTGACCCCTTAGGATGACACTAAGGGATCTTAACCCCCGCTCTGATACCAATTGTAACATCCCGATCCCCCGGCGTCCGACCGGGGTTCAGCAACCGGGTGTTACGGACACGTGTCTACTCAACTAGACAACCCTACGTGTCCTTACTGGTCCCAGGAGTCGGCGGACGCATCTTTAATGAAATTCGATCCACCCATATCCACATACTTCTACATACAGTCCTGCGCATAGGGAAAACGGAAATGGAGGG